GTAGATTTTTTCATCACAATGGTGTCTGATTACTTATAGTAAACCTAGTAAATCATCCACTTAGAATCCAATTAAACATAATCCTAAAAATGTATTTGAATTCATGAAATATAGTAGTTTCGATTTAAAGGTAATCCCGAGCACAAAACCTTTATTAAATTTTTTAGAAATTTGTACTGTTTGCTAATATAAAATGAAAACAAACATGAGTGAAAATGTAAAACAACACTTGCAATAACATGAGAATCGTCATATATGAGAATCACATACCAATAGACTAAACACACAGAGTATTTAGAAAGTCAATAGGATAATTCAATAAGCTTTTGGTGTTCACTTTTTCAGACAGATTGCTCTATTTGTCTGTTTGACTATCACATCTGTTGAGCATTGACAATTGTTCAAACTGACTTCAACAACATCTCCTAGTTCAGTTGTCACCTAAAGTTGTCCAATTAGTGAACGGGATCTAAATTTGGTGAGGTAAGGCAGATTTGAGTAAAAAGCAAAACATCACTACCAAAAAGTTCATTTTCACAATCTTAATTGAAAAAACATCTGAATTAACATTTTTCTATACATAATATCTAAGTGACACAACTGCCTCTATCAATTGCCTGGCTTTGCCCATGCTCATGCCTTTATCACATACAAGTGGCAATGTGTGATATGAATCCATCATCTCCAATCATAATCATCATTTAAAATTAGTTAACCTAAAACATCTTCATTTCAATTACAAATATACGGATATACTGTACTTAACTTATTACATGTGTAATCTTAGTGCTAGTCAAATACTGCAAACTTATGGAATACTCTTCCATGGGTTCATGTTGACTTTTTATTGATGTTTATTGAATTAGAAAATGATCATAGGCACTAAAGAAGCAAGTACGCATTGACCAATATGGTTTCCTATTACATGCAGATAATACTGACTCTGCTTTAATCCTTGGCTAAGTCTATTGATCAGGAAATGAAAATTGATTTCATTTGAGAATTCAAGTCACGATGATGTCTTTGCTTTTACTGAAATGATCAAAATGACCAAACAAAGCTTATTAGAATAGTTGCTCCTAGTTAACAAATCTCCGGTTAAGAAATCTGAGATTAATTTTCAATTAGTTCATTGTTTAACTTAAATGGTATTTCAAAGCACTTTAACATTAACCACCAAACTTGAAAGGATTCTGCGGCACAATTGCAGAATGTCAAAAGGGATGTTGTCCAGTTGCGTCAACAATTTGTAGAAGATGAAGAAGAATGAAGTTGATATCAGTATAGTACTAAAGGAGAGGGAGTAAATTATGATTTTATCAGTGAAGAAAAAAATCAAGTGAAACATTTTGAAATGTTGTTATATGGGAGAGGAGGGGGTTAAACAATAGTGAACAATACTGTCATACGTAGGACTGAAGTAAGTAATTTCCTAGGGGTGCTTATCGATGAACATCTTTCCTGGAAGCCTCACATAAGACATGTTGAAACAAAAATATCAAAGACTTTGGCAGTACTCCATAGAGTCAAACAAAACTTAGATTACAAAGCACTAAAAATGATATACTACTCTCTTATTTATTCTTACATCAATTACAATATTATAATCTGGGGGAATGTTCCACCTTCATACCTACTTAAAATCCATAGATTACAAAAACAATTCATAAGAATACTTTTTAATAACTGTAAGCCTAGAGATAATACAGCCCCTTATTTTAAAGAGGCCAGCATACTAAACATCTTCCAAATTGTTGAACTTAACACTGCTCTCTATGTATTTAAATGTGTTAAAGGCATCAATAAAACTTATGAGAGACAATTTAATAACTACTTCACCCCAAATAGAGAAATTCATGAACACCTGACAAGACAGCAATTAAAACTGAGACCTTCGAAATTTAGAACTAATATTGGACAATTTTCTATCAGTAAACAGGGACCTGATTCCTGGAATAATCTCACAGATGACCTGCAACACATTAACTCTCCTTCTAAATTTAAAAGTAAATTGAAATTAAAATTGTTGTCATGAAGTATATGTTCAATCCAATACACTATTATTTTGACCATTCAGCAATATATTTTAGTGTGAAATTATATACTGTTTCTTGCAATTTTCAAGTATCTAATCTAGGTACATCACCTTTCATTCTGGCACAAAGCAAAATTTTATTTTACATATCCTTGCCATATGAGCGAACAGGCCTCGGAGAGGGGGTAGGTACAGGCGATTTGATCAATTCATTTTGTAATTTCCTACTTTGTGGATAATATCCCCAATAGGGGGTCTTCCACTTCATGTAATTGTAATATTATACAATATAAGGAAATAAATAATAATAATAAAAACCATCATGAAATTATCTTTTAGTTTTCTACAACTGTTGCCACAAGCGTTTCATTCAGGAGGCAGCAGGCATTGATTTTTGCCAGTTGTTTTCAACAGATTGCTCTATTTGCCAGTTGTCTTGGGTGTGAAAGTACAAGAAAGTAGATCTGAGCCGGGAGATTAAAAAATGCAATATATGCTTCATAATCCAATATATGCTTCATATCATATATACTAATATCCAAAACCACAAAAAATCTTAAAATATCAACTCTATTATTTAAATGGATTATCATCATCATCATCATCATCTGAGATATTTGCATCAATGGGGGTATTTCTATATTTTTCACCAGAAGGCTTTATATAGGCAATTTTCTTTTGTCTAATTCTTTTCATAATACAACAAAAATGAATTTTCCGCACAATAAACTTTCCTGAATAATATATCATCAATAATTATCTACTATCTATTATTTTATATTTAATATTTCTTATATTCATAATTTTACATATCTACAGTACCTAATTTTAGGCCTTTTATTTCAAAGAACTTCTTGCATGTAACAAAGCTCTGAACCTTGCTTCCCACCCATTCATTCACACTTAATTCCCATAATCCCATTACTTAACACGAATGCAGCTGAATTCAATGAATCAATTCTACAAAAATATTAACTCAGCCAAGTGTGTATTGACAACATTACAGAATCAGGAACTAATGTCTCAAAAGCCTTTCAGAAATTGATACATTGTTAAATAATTTGTTACATTCACCTAAGAGGTGTAAAGCTAATTCAATATATACCTTGGAGGGTGATTCCATTTGGTAAGTTTACAATTGTGATCAGTGATCGGCTGCCCAATGAACGTAATATGCATGAAGTTAGTGTCTGGTAGCATATATTACTAATTACATTGTGCAAAAGTATTAGCTGTGAACTTTGTTAAGGTGGGCCAAAATGTCTATATTTCTTTGGCTATATATTTTACTGCCAAAAAGATTTTAGCAACAAAAAAGTATGGATGTTTTTGCCCCATATTCATATTAAATTTTGGTTATTACCAGAAAGTAAAGAAAATTTTGAGAATCTCTTAGTTCACACTACTATACCTTACATTTGGTGTTCATGAGCAACCCATTTGGCTTATTAGTAATGATTATGTATTTGTTTTTATTTGTCTGTTCCTTATGAATGGTTTATCGGTTGAAAATTAGATGCTAGTAAGGCACTTTCAAAAATATATTAAACAATTCAATTAGACAAACAAAGTATCTTATGCATTTCTAGGTGTTAGGTATAGTAGTGTGTTAGTTAGTTGGCCTTCAAAAACATGTATGGAAACTGTTGGGTCTTTGATAATTTTCTCTGAAATTTTATATTTTTTGCCAAATTAAAACTTGAAGCCTCACTCCCTTGAAACTCCTATTCATTTGATGAAAGTTGGCAATGGGTATGCCATATACCCATGGGGGCAAATTCAAATATCTAAAGAATCAGCTGCTCCAGTCAAACAAGTGAAATAATTATGCCCAAAGAGAAATATTTTGAACCTTATGTTGACGATGTACTGCCCAAAGAATATTTACGAAGTGACTCTCCCTTTGTAACAATGGCTTTAAAAGCAGATGCTAAGTTGTGGAATGATTCAATCAATGTATCAACAAGTTGTTTGGGTACTACAATATGCACGAATAATTGAATAAACTTGTTTTTGGGAACCTGTCAAAACAAAACATACTATACAGTCTGAAATCTTAAGAAATAGATCAGAACAAAATTATATGATGGCCTGGCGGACTAACTGTTTGGCTCTGTTAACTAGTGCATAGTGTAACTAGTGCATAGTGTAACTAGTGCATAGTGAATTTCTAACTTGGGAGTACAGTTGAACCTGCTAAGTGGAATAACTCTGTAAGTGGAACAGTGTTTTTAAAGTCCCATGACCTATCTACTCCATGTTAATGAACCTCTGTAAGTGGAACACCTCTCAAGTGGAACACTTTTTGTGGTCCCAATGGTTTTCACTTATACAGGTTCTACTGTACACTGTTATCGTCACTAGTTGACAGTCCATGTTATAGTTATCCTCTGCTTACATTTTAATTTTATGTTCCACAAAATCTTAGAGTGTCCAACCATTCTATTTTGTTTAATCAAATAACTGAACTGTTTTGTAAAATTCAGAAGTTTTAATTGTGTAATTATATAGATATTGTGGGCAATCGTAAAGATTTTATGAATACTACACAAAGAAATGCATTCAATAACAGAGTAATATTCATTTCTGATGACAACGGTTCTAGGCGACATCTATTTTACTTAAACTGAGTTTTACTATAAAAATTTTTGGAGTAAGAGCTGCTATAAAAAAAGGGACATGTTTTGGTAAACAACTGGTATGTTTATGCTGGAGTAAACATGTGTTTGGTAAACAACTGGTATGTTTACGCTGGAGTAAACAATAACTGTAATCTTTATTATGTCAAGTTGGCTAAAGTAGACAAAAGTGGAAAGTGATTGATTTTGAGCCAAAAAGCACCTCTATAAAAAAGTTGGTTCTCAAGATGACAAGATTTCTTGTGCCACCAGCCTACCTCTCACACACATCAGGACAATATAATGATCATTTATGACTTTTCAACTGCAACTAAAGTAAGACTTACTCTTGTATCCATTGGTAATGATGTCCTGGGGACCTTTCTGTACAATAGTGACATGGCCCATTGCTTCACTCAGTTCCTTTGTATTATCTTCAGCACTGATGGACTTATCAAGAGGATGCCCTATCTAAAATGTACATGTAGTAAACATGGTGTAAGTCAAGCAGAAAGTGTTTAGGTCAAGATGAGTGAGCTTTATATAAAATTGAGATATCAACCAGTGCCAGTGTCAAGTTCTTCATGGTCTGCGCTTCACTATAGGGCTACACAGGATCCCTATCTGGATTAATTTGATGAAAATAACTTTTTCAAACTCAATATTTCAAAATCATAAATGTTTCAAAGTTGCACACTATCTAATGGGTAGTAAGTTAATGTTTATATAGTAGCAAATAATTCAGAACATAAAATTAAAGAAAAAATTGCCATCTGGAAGTTACTTCAGAATCTCCTTCAGAAAAACTCATAATGAAATGTTTCTCCTGACATCTTTATATGCAACTGATAGCATGTAAAACATACCAATAGCATTTAAAACATTTTTGTTCACATTTATAGATGGCATTTTATTACAGTGTATTGCAAAACTGTATTGCCGTCCTGATTTGTATGAGACTAAGAGAAAAACATCACATTACAGGCATCAGTGACTTCTAGAGGTATTATCCCCCATTTGGAAACAGGAAGAGGATAGAGGAAACTGCAAAAAGATGCAGGACATGAATGGATACTTACGACCTTGCTGTAGAGACGTTCAAATTCCACAATATTGGGTGTGAGAATAGCTTTGCCATAGCCCTGCACAATCTCAGGTTGTTCAGTTATCAGGAACAGTCCATCCTAAATACAAAACATAGCTTAGATAATAACTCTCTATTTATGTACAGAGTGATCCAAAAGAATAGAACCCAGTAAAGCTACCATACAGTAAACTTGTGTAGATATGCAGGACTAAAGTCAATTGCATAGATCCCCATGTAAAGTCAATGTTAAGTCAAGTTGATCGAGTCTCAACAAGTAGATTCATGTGGGAGAGTATTGGTAGAATTCATTTTCAATAGTTAGAATTTGGGTTCTCAAAAAGGACATGAAAGCTTAACCAAGGCCTTTTTGAAATTTTTGGTTCGTTCTAATATATCACAGACAAAACATTGCTAAGTCTTATTGTTAATTATACTTGTATTTAGAGCAGATAATAAAGTCCTTACAGCATCAATTATTACAGGAATGTTCCTTTCCATTGACTGCATGATAATACCCTGGAAAACATGATAATAGATTGAAATTAGATGTGTATAATCAGTAGAACAACATAGCTACTGTAAGGGTAGGACCAATGTAACTGTATGTGAATTTGAAATCTTTATGTTGTTGAAATATTAAACCACATTTAATTTATCTACATAATACTGCACATTAATGTTAAGTTTTAATCTACATAAATTTATATTCCATTTCAAGGAAATCATCCTTTAGTAATTGACCTGACAACTTTAACCGAGCAAGCGAATTCCTAATCATAAGATTATACCTTGACATTTTCCAAGATTGCTGGATCTCTTCCTAAACCTGGACCAATAACAATACTGTGTAACCGTGGCAACCATTCTGATATCTGACCCAAGGCATCCTTGTGATCTCTGAAACAATCATCAATTTTGATTATTATTATTATCTTAAGGTAGGATGGATAAGATAATGACTAGTTTGAGGATATGTAATGGCTAGCTTGACTACTATTTATTTCAATGAGGCTTCGAACACAAACTGCCAAATGCTGAGCACAGTCTACAAAAAGTTGTCTGCATAGGGGGGCCCATACTTTTGGGACACCCTGTACAGGGTGGTCCAAAAAATTGGGACACTCGAATTTAAATATAAATAATGATTTTCTTGATGAAAGCATGTGATATTATATACAAGTGGATAGGGAATTTACTTATCTTTAATTTGCTATATCATAAGTTCAAATTTATTATAACGTCTGTCAACCTGCGTCCATTATATAAATTACATCATTTTAGTTTCAAAACGTGTTTTCCAAAACTTGCAAAAAACAAGTTTTTTGTCAACTTTTTTTTACACAAACAGAAGTTCAATATGTCCATCATTTTGATCAATTATAGCCCTCAATTTTGGCCTTAACTGGTCAAAAACATCATTGATATTCTGTTGAGACAATGAATTCCACTTCTCAACAAGTCTATCCTTAATAAGGGACTGAGTAGATGTAAGGGGTTCATGGTAAACCAATTCTGTTCGTTCTCCCCATACGTGGTAGTCGCAGACGTTGAAATCGCATTATCCAATTATGTTGTTTTTACTTTTAAACCATCCTTGTATGAGCTCATTCTCGAATCATTATATTTTCCAACAAGATGGGGCTCCAAGCAATTGATCTCACGAGAGTGTCAAATGTTTAAAAGAAAATGTGCCTGGATTCATCTCCCTAATCACTGCCTCCCCCAGATCATACAATCAACCAACGTCTGCGACTACCACGTATGGGGAGAACTAACAGAATTGGTGTACCATGAATCCTTTACATCTATTCAGTCTCATGAGAACAGAAATTTATGAGAAGTGAAATTCATTGTCTTTAACAGCATATCAATGATGCTATTGGCCAGTTTAGGTCAAAATTGAGGGGTACAATTGATCAAAATGGTGGACATATTGAACGTCTGTTTATGTAAACCAGAACAACGGCAACGCCAAAGCGTAGCGAATCCCATCGAACAGCCATGGATGGCATTTTTACAAACAAAGTATATAGCAAAAATGGCAGCCATTTTTCAAAATGGCCACCTTCTTCCAAAAGTGCCATTAGACCATGTGCCATGCTTATAGTATTCACATACCAAATATGAACAAAATCGCTCCACTACTTTTCAAGTTATAGTAAAATACGTTAAAATGGCGTCCATTTTTCAAAATGGCCACCTTCTACCAAAAGTGCCATTAGACAGTGTGCCGTGCTTATAGTTTTTACATACCAAATATAAACAAAATCGCTCCACTACTTTTCGAGTTATAGTAAAATAGGTTAAAATGGCGGCCATTTTGAAAAATGGCCGCCTTATACCAAAAGTGTCGTTAGACAGTGTGCCATGCTTACAGTATTCACATACCAAATATGAACAAAATCGCTTCACTACTTTTCGAATTATAGTAAAATACGTTAAAATGGCGGCCATTTTTCAAAATGGCCACCTTCTACCAAAAGTGTCATAGGACAGTGTGTCATGCTTATAGTATTCACATACCAAATATGAACAAAATCGCTCCATTACTTTTCGAGTTATAGTAAAATACGTTAAAATGGTGGCCAGTTTTTAAAATGGTGGCCATTTTTCAAAATGGCCACCTTCTACCAAAAGTGTCTTTAGACAGTGTGCAATGTTTATAGTATTCACATACCAAATATGTAGTGGAGCAACGATTGACTCGTGGACTCGAATACTACTCGCCAAACCCTGTAAATACGATTCATCGATTGGTAAATTCTGACTCGAATTGAAAAAAAAATGAAAAAAATGATGAAGAAAATGTGATTTACCCACCTTTCAACCGCAATTTACGTAAAAAAACACATCCAATGTACAACATTTCTGTACAATGTTTAACAATGATGCCTTCCTTAATATATAGCATTGTAGTGTGATACCTTAACTGAAATAATAAATCAAATACGATAGGCTTTCTCGTGTTTGTTTTTATTTATTGATTACATCCGGTTGCGCATGTGCAATGCAATATTTAACGAGGTCAAACCAATTAGCGTAAATTGCTAAATTATTTACTTTTCAATGCAAAACAAGAACATATAAAGTGTATTGAGTTATTCTATTTGAATAATTTGATGGGTATGTTGGAGTTATTCAAGGTAGGTTGAGCCGAGAACACTTGAAAACATTGCTACCGGAAGTGAAAGTTTGTAACTTTCCGAAGAAAGTTTTATCTGAACTTTTTTCCAAAATCATTCATTTTAATCGCGAATAAATCGAGTGTTCAAGAGCCTCTACTCGAGTAGGATAATTCACACGAGTCCCACCACTACAAATATGAACAAAATTGCTCCACTACTTTTCGAGTTACAGCAAAAATCGTAAAATAACGAGTAAAGGCCGCCATTTTTCAAGATGGCTGCCATGTGCGTCTTTAATATCTACATTTCTAGCTTTATTAATGTCCTATATAATTTTTTTACATCTAAAACATATTGCTATTACAGTTTTACATATTGCACCTAAATTACTGTAAATTCGGCACTAAAATGGCCGCCGCGGCTTTCGAGCAGAACTTCTACCCCCATAGGGTATATGTGTACAAAATATGAACAAAATCGGGCCAACGGTATTTGAGTTATTGCCCGGACGGACGGACGGACGGAGGCGTTCCCTATATCCCTCCGAACTTCGTTCGATGGGATAATAAAGTTGACAATAAAACTTGTTTTTGCAACTTTTGGAAAAGCCGTTTTGAAATGAAAATGACATCATTTATATTATGGTTGCTGGTTGACAGATATTATAATAAATGTTAACTTATGATATACCAAATTAAAGATAAGTAAATTCCCTATCTACTGGTATATAATATGACATGTTTGTATCAAGAAAATCAATATTCATTTTTGAAATACGAGTGTCCCATTTTTTTTGGACCACCCTGTATATATACTCAATCTAGGCTCAACAGTTATAACATTCAATTGAGCACATCATCCACTTATTAAGTGATGTTCCTCATCCAAGCCATGACCAAGTTTAACTGATGGCAAAATGACATGTCAACTTACAACAGTGGCAGCACTATGAGATCTGGACTGTAGGACTTGATGACCACAGCTGCTTCTTTACAGCAGAATACATAGCTCAAGTCTGCACCCTGGAATACAAATGATAACAAGATTGAGTTCCAAAATTTAAAGTTAAAGTAATAAGCAACTTTACACCAAAGACAATACTTATTTATTAGACATAGCTTTTTTCTTATTCGTTCAAAAGTACTATGTATGTATACATGTTAACTAGTAAAATTAGACAACAGAAACCCGAAAGCTTGGGCAAATTCCATCGAATAGCCATGGCTGGCATTCTAACAAACGAAGTATATAGCAAAAATCGTAAAATACACAAATGATAGGTCAAATAGGCATTATGGATATGCATAAAATGAATGTGGATATCCCTTATAAAAAATTCAACCTTGAAAGTCCGAATTTAAACCGTTGCACAATCATTGTACAATCATTGATCCGATCATTTATGCAACCATGCCAACCGTTACGATGCAACCATTACAATTTTGGTTGTAAACTCATTGAAATGTTTCAATCATATGTAACCATTGTAAATGCTTGACAATTTTGGTTGCATTTCTTGCAACTGTTTCAATCGAATGCAACCCTTTAAAACTATGGCAATTTTATCTCAATACAACATAAAATAATTATCTTGCTCTTTAAAAAATATATTTCAAATGTGTGCATTTCATGCATACTGTACATGTCAGAATTTAAATGGTTTGATCAAAAAGATATTTAAAGTATTGAAATAGTTAAGTAAACTTGTCTTGTGAATGAAAATATATTGAACCAATTTTCATCTAACTTTGAAGGATGGTGATTGTCTAACTCACATGTATATTATCTAGATAACAGCAATGCTTAGGCATAGCAAATCCCCCTCGCTGTCATGACTATCATTTTTACAAAATCACTTCACTACTTTTTAAGTTATTGCAAAATCATTTGAAAAAAATTTTGGTTGGGTCAAGTCTTGGATTTTACACTTCACCTTGCAATCATCGCAATTATAAAGGAAGGAAGATGTGTCTGGAAGGAAGAAATCCTTCAATGGGAAAATAATCTGTTTTGATTTGATATTTTTGATTTGATAGAGAAAATGCAATCAGACATTACAGGATGTGTTTTAAATAATTAAGTCGATAAGCATAACTTAAAAAACTGATTACAGTTAGACTCAGTCTATCTAGTTTGATTAGAGTCTGCTTTGAAGGATGTGTCAAAAGAAACTTTATTAATCCATTAATCCATAAACAAAACAAAAATAATTCTGCAAGGCAAAACAAACCTTATTATATCAGTTTGATTAGAGTCTGCTATAAAGGAAGCATCCTATGTAATTTAAATTATTCCATACACAGAACTTGATAAATAATTTGCCAAAGAAAATCTCCCATATTTTCCTCCAGATTTTTCCAAGTTTAGAGTTTTGAAAAATAAGCCCTGTTTTTGGTTTTTACTTTTTAATCATCAACACATATCATTTAAACTGAAAATTTTAACCCCCCCCCCCTCTGCATGAAATAGATAATTAAAATAAATATATAGTATAACACAAGATGAAAATAGATATAACAGAAACTAGGACTATGAACCCTTTTTCTGGTCAAGCATTTTAATTAGCTGTTCAACCGTTTTAATTAGCTGTTCAACCGTTTTAATTAGCTGTTCAACCGTTTTAATTGGCTGTTCAAGCATTTTGATTTTCTTAAACCCATGAGAATATCAATATGTAGTAGGTATTGTTGTGTTGAGCATTGTTATAAAAAATATTTGCCAAGAAAGAACATGGTAATTAAATCTGTTGTGAATAATGTGTTTCACACATAATATACAGTCAATATCAAAATAGTTCTCTTGTTTGTATTTTTTAAATTTCAGTGAGTCATACTCTTGATATTTGGTGTTAACTACACATGGATACATTTGAAGACCCATTTTGCTGGGGGGGGGGGGCTGACTACTGGCCTGTTCATTGTATATAAACTTTTGCGGGGGTCCTGAGCTAAACCCTCCGATTTCAATATGTTCCCAAACCAATCTATCTTACTGAAATTATTAATTCAGATGTTTTCCATTAAAACTGTGAAAATTAAGTCTTTGGTGCCTGAATGCATTATTACTATAAAAACATTTTCACTAAATAAAGCAATCAACTTGTGATTACATGTTTGTATTATTTTGTACATCATACCCTGCTTCTTTTGATCATACATGTATATCTGATTCAGTCTAATCATGAACAAAAACAATGGTGTCTCATCTTGTGATTTAGTTTAAAGGAAATCTTAAGATTTTCCTTGGTCAATTTCTTAAAGAGGCAATAAGGACTGTAGAGAGAAAATTCGAATTTTTTTATTTTTTCTGAGCTATCAGGTCAATATTTGGCTTAATACCTTCTTTGAAATACCTATTTTCATAAAATGTATGTATAAACTATCAATTTCAGCATTAAGAAGTGTAAATTCAATTCAAAGCTTCTATAAAGGGAGTCCCACTTATAGATTTTTAAGATCTACCATGTTTCAAGAGGAATATCAGCTGAAATAATGTTCATCCAGAGGGTTTCTTTGTAGATAATGAAAATATATGTTAGTCTTGATGAAATATCCAAACCTAAATATATTTTGACACTTGTCGATGATCGTTGAATGGCCCCCCTGCACTATTTGTAGCACCTTTAACCAAATTGGAATTTTGCTCAATTCTTTTCATAATTAACATTAAAAATACATTATTTTGGCAATATCAGATAACGGGAAATAAACACTAGATATGGTACTTTTAATTGTGTAAGTAATGTAAATGATAGAGAACATAAATTATCATATGCCATTGAGTGGAAAACTAGTCTGGTAGCGCATTCCTAAATCCGTACTGGAGAAAGAAACATATGAACATGAATTTAGTAATTTACTATAATAAACATGCATGTATGCTTGCAGAAAAAATATCCTAATATACTGTTGTTGAATAGAGGTAGATTCAAATCCTTACTTAAAGATAATTTTAATTCAGGTAAAATGATAATTTTTTGGAACGATACCAATTCAGGATGGTTGCAGGGCTTGAACTATGTAATCATTGAACAAAACGTATTGCAACCATTTACATTTCAATGTGAAATGGTTGCAGTTTACAATGGTTGCAGATTACAATGATTGTATAGAAATGGTTGCGCAGTCATTGAAAAAGAGTTGACTTTGTTTGGTTGAACGCAATGGTTGCACAATGATTGCTTTTCACTGTACAATGGTTTTTCCTTTGATCTTAGTAGTTGAAACAATCAGTATTCAATGATTGATGGAAACGGTTTAAATTCGGACTTTCAAGGTTGAATTTTTTATAAGGGATGAGTCAATCCGATTAGCAGTTTTAATTTGTGAGGCCAATGTTGACGGACGGACGGACGAACGGACAGACGGACGGACCAACGGACGCCTGGTCAATCCCATAGGCTCACTGTGTGAGCCAAAAATGGTTGTTCACAAGTCAAATTGTCATCAGAAAGTGTAATATGCTTCTTAGTAGGCACATAAAAAATTTCAACAAAATCGCACACACATACATAGTACAGAGCTGTCAAGTGTCCCGCGAATGGCGGGATTATCCCGCAAATTTGATCAAAATTTGGCTAATTCGCGTGTCCCGCAATGTCCCGCAAAGTCCCGCGAATGTCGGCTTTGACCTTCGCGAATTTTCAAAATTGTAACAATCCCCGAGGCTAAATAATTGTGATTATCTTGTGATATAAGTTTTTGCGCTTTTGAGGAGTAAAGTTTACCTAATTTGAAAAGTGCTGCCACACTCCCAGTGCATCAGATCATCGTAGACTGCTTTTGAAAAGAGCATAGTTCATTTATAAAACTGCGATTTTGATCCAAATAACACCATAGTTGGCTTCTCAAGTACCTAGTATGCCGTTATTTGGTATCAAAATAAAGAGGAAAAGTGCAATTTTCATTTTAATTACGAAAATAGGGATGTATGTCACGTTTACTTCCAACGTTGGCCTTTTTACTACGCGTGTCACGGCCTTCATCTTAGAACTGAGCAAATGTTAGCAAACGCGAGTTCCAATAAATGGACACTGATATCTCGAAAAGAAACCTGACTCCCTATAATTTGATTTAGATTAATCGAACCCCAATTTGAATAGGTACATTTTAATATGTAACACTATGGGGGGGGGGGTAAATATTTCATAGTTGGTCACGAACACCATAAGTGCAAAGTATTGTTCAGAATTTTTGAATTTCGTGTTGGATTACGGTACTCACAACTAAAGCGTGGTTTTTTGATACAGGGTGGTCAAAAATGGAAACCCTGCATTTTCCTTATATCTGTGTCACTTTAAGAAATTACTCCCTGATATTTTGTACATCATTCAATTTTCTACCGCCCTACCATATTTCATGACCATCGAACTGATAGACACAATTTTACAGCACAAAAAAATTGAAACCCTGCATTTTCCCTATATCTTTGTCATTCCCTGATTTTTCACACATTTGTACATCATTCAATTTTCTACCACCCTACCATATTTCATGACCATCAGACTGATAGACACAATTTTACAGCACTTAGAATAACATGCTTCAGATTTGGCCATTATCGCGTTGTAAGCAAAACAGCACAGTTGTCAATGAGCCGAATGCATTCCTCAGCAGGTATGGCCTGAATGACACAAATGATCTCACTTTTGAGGTTTGCAATTGTCCTGAGGTCATTTTCATATACTCTATCTCTGCCATATCCCCACAGGTAGGGACATTTTAGATGAAGAGTCAAGTTTCCCCACAACCCAATAGTGGCCACTGGGCATGTTCTTTAGAGTACTGTAACATTGTGACTATCAATCTGATGGTCGTGAAATAAAATAAGCTGGAGGCAAATTGAATGATGTACAAAAGTGTAAAATATCAGGGAGTTATTTTTTAAAATGACAAAGATATGAGGAAAATGGTATTAGGGTTTCCATATTTTTGACCACCCTGTAGTAATAATATTTCTATGCGTATTGTGTGGAATTGTGTTGACGTTTACTTAAGTTAAGTGCATTATATTTGATAAATCAGTATCTGAAAGTTTGATTTGAGAACTTTTCATTGAGCCCCAATCACGTAAATCCCTTTCAAGAATGTCCTGCGACATCCCACAAATTTAGGTGGATGTCCCGCAAAATCCCGCGAGTTTAGGGCACTTTGTCTAAAAAATCTGTCCCTCTATGAAGTCTTTAGTGGTAACCCTGTTAACTGTCCCGCAATAAGCATGTTTGTCCCTCGAAAGGTCCCGCGAAATCCCGTGAATTTGATCAAAATTTGACCTATTAGCGCAATGGCACCCAAATCCCTTAAATGTCCCGCGAATTTAGGTGGATGTCCAGCGAAATCCCGCGAATTTTTGGCACTAGGTCTAAAAAATCTGTCCCGCGAGAAAATCTTTGGGGGTTGACAGTACTGATAGTAGCCCGGACATTACTAAGTTCAAGGGTTGCTTTTTCTTTAATAACTTTTTTGATTTTCAGTACTATCAACAACCGATTACATATTGAAAACTAGAGTAAAATTCTGACATTCGAAAGCAATATTAAGGAACATCTCTTAATTTATTAATATTATAGGCGTTCATAGTGTGAGTGACACAATACATAATTCATCGTTTTGTCTCATATTTGGTCAAAATGGCATGGCAGCATGTTTTGTGAATTTAAATGTTCAGTTGAAAGCTAACATTTAAGAAATGACACAGGCCAGACGGACAGACGGACGTTTGCAATACAAATACTTTGTTACAATTATTCATAACTGTTCAAGTTCATAAATAAACACAAGAAAAAAATGATCAAGGCTGAATGCTTCACAAAAAAACAGTGTGCAGTGGGGTAAATTCGGGTGTGGTGTAACACACATCTTAGCTAATCTTGGTTGCTTTTAAGAGTTTTAAATTTGCTTTCAGAAGAAGTGTATTATCTTCATTACTAAGTTCAGTGTTGCCATGCAAAAGCATATTTACTTTGCAAACATAGTTAGCATCTAAGAATTTTTCTAAACAACCAATAATATGGAGATCTAAGCAGTTGGATTCTATCAACTAGTTAAGGGCATTTGAGGAAAAAATGAGTAGGTGTTTAATTTTCATGACCACAGTTACAGGCTGGTGAGTCAATGTTTGTAAAATGATGAGCAAATAATTGGCTTTTGGACAGAAAAAATGTTCAAATTGGGATGTGTTCTGATTAGCCAGGTGTTTGGATATAAATGTACAGGTTTAAATGAGAGTTGTACTAAAGTATTTCTATACATCAGTTATAAGCTTTATAACTGCACAATTTCACTAAACACATGATTCAAATTAGAAAACGGTAACTCCAAATGGCTGCTCCAGGCAGCCATTTTGAAATTCATGAGGCACAAATCAGAAAAACAATACCATAATTGTGATCTACTCTAAAATTCCTTTCACTTGAGTATCAGAAAGCTACTTCAAAAACTTAACGCAAGTTCCTGTTTTCCCACCCACATTCACGGCCCCTGTGGGTCAGGGTCAAAAACATGGGATATATGTTAAATAGGCAGAATGTTGTGAATAAACTACTATACCAAAATATCAAATAATGATTTTATCATTTTGGTTTAAAATGAAAAACATAAGATTTTTGTGTCATATTTAAAGCAGTTGCCACTATTTGAGTAATTTTCCGGACGGGCAGATGGATGAACTGACTGATAGATGGATGGACGGATGAAGGGCTTCATTTTATCCCTTTGAACTTCGTTTATTGGGATAATTACCTTATATATTTATTCTCTAAAATTAAAATCAAATACATAATAACACTTGACACTTTTAGTAAGTGTATCAGCGTGAAAACATTTAAATATTAACCTGAGTCAAATGGAAATGAGAAAAAAGAACAATTTAAATATATTTACTCAGTTAAATGAGAATAAAATTGATAACAATATATAAAATCTACATATATGTTTGTCAGTAATTCAGTTCATCATAGGTTGATGTCATATGAATTTTAAAATTCTTTTTAAAACAGTTAATGGAAGGTAATGTTTTCAAACAAGTTGGCAGATTATTCCAAAGCTGAGCACCTGAATATTTTATTGAGTTTTGACCTATAATTGTTCTAAATTTTTTCATGTGAAGACAATTTTGGAATCTTGTCTCATGTTCGTGAAATATCAAATTTGGAGTAAAATAATTTTCAAATATGTCAAAAGGAAAGCCATCGGGTTTTGTTGTGTATTGATAAAGAAATTTTGCAACTTCAAGCTTATGTATGTCAAAAATATCTAGAAAATTGAGTTGTTTAAAAAGAGGTGGGCTATGTGCTAAAAAGTCAGAATTTGTGATTATTCTCACTGCACGTTTTTGTAACAAAAGCAATTTATTCAAAAAGGTTTTACGTACATGCATTACCCCATATGATGTTGCAATAGTTCAATTGTGATAATATAAGTGAATTATAAATGGTAATCATGGTTTTTGTATTCAATTTATATTTAATCTTTCCCAGAATACCAATAATTTTAGATATTTTATGGATAATCTTATTTATGTGCTCATTCCATTTTAATTTACAATCAATTGTTACTCCCAGAAAATTTGTATGCATTACTCTTTCAAGAATATTACCCCCTATTTTTATATTAAAATCTTGATTTTCATCAATATTTAACTTTGATCTTGTAAATAGCATATAATTTGTCTTGTCTATATTCAAAGAAAGTTTATTTGATTTGAACCATTCTAATGTCTTTTCCATTTCTAGATTTACATTTCTATATAGATCATGAAGGTCTTTGTTTGAACATAAGATATTTGTATCATCTGCGAAAATAGTAAATTTAAGAATATTTGAAACCTTATGTAAATCATTTATATAGAGAATGAATAAGATTGGGCCTAAAACAGACCCTTGAGGTACACCACAAGTGATACTATTTTCTTCAGATAGAGTGTTGTTAAAAGAAGTAATGATTTTCCTATCAGATAAATAGCTTTCAAACCAATTTTTTGCGACATTGCGAATTCCAAAATTTTCAAGTTTTTTTAGAAGAATTTCATGATTTACTGTATCGAAGGCTTTGGATAAATCTAAAAATATTCCAATAGCATGAGTTGAGCTTTTATCTAGAGATATCCTCACTTCTTCCAAGAAGGAGAGGATTGCCATATAAGTTGAATAATGTTTTCTAAAACCAAACTGATTTTTGAATAAAAGTTTGTATGTTTCAATAAATGTTATTAATCTATTTTTCATGATCTGTTCTATCTTAAGTGAGACTGACGTATAGAGACATACAATTAATAATCCGTACATCCAATGGGATATAATCTTATTGAACCAATACATATTGTTGTACTCACGACTCTTAGTGCTGCTATGCCAGCAAAATAAGGGGCCCCTGTATACCTACAAGGGAATATATATTTATTCATCATCACAAAATATACACAAGCATGCCAAAAACATGTCGCAATCTAAGACAATACAATGCCACATAAAAGAAGTATCATGTCATGTGCAAGAAAAAATATTCTTTTAGATAGCAATATCATGGGCATCTACAGTTGATGGTAATAATCAAATAAAAAACAACATTTTCAAACATTGTTTCCATTTTAGAGTTGTTTTAGTTTGTATTCTACAAATTCAATTAAGATTGTGACACAATCTATGAAATATTTGAAATATGGAAACTGTCTTCATTTTTTACTGACTTGCTGCTCCTACATACATGTACTAACAGGGTACCAACTATAGGGGATGTATCGAAACTTCTACGTCCCGCAAAACCATAAATTTGAATTTTAAACCTACCAGGTGTTTGAAAATCAAGGATTGTGAGTCTCATACTTGGGCTCATACTGCACCATTTGTCTTCAAACTTGTGCCTTTAAAAGTAAATTAAAAGTGCCTCTCTGTCGGTACATTGCTTTAGTGTACAAAGTTCTTAGTTCTTGTGGCATTTTGGTCCCCAGCTGTGAGATCAAGCAAATTTTCATACCTTTCAACTTTAAGTCTAGTTATCTCGCTAGTCTTTTACCCATTCTCGCCCATAATTTCAGAATGGACCCCCAATCGATTGCAAACTTCATATTTGCACAGTTGATGAGATAAGATTTTTTGATGAGATTTTCATGGGAAAATCATAATGGAGGGTGCACTACTTCCTTTGAACCAAATCCGTTCACTGGTATTTGAGTTACCAAAGGTTATGTTCTATTAAGAAAAATAGCAGCCATTTTGAAATTTAAAAGCTGTCATCTTAAAAATTCCTTCTCGACCAGAGCTCATGTATCCCTAGGTATCTGCATATAAAATCTAAACCAAATCCATTTGCTGGTATCTTAGTTATCAAAGATAACTTTTTTTACAAAAAATGACTGCCATTTTGAAATTCAGTGGCCATCTTGAAAATCTCTTTATGATCAAAGCTCCTTTGTCACTAGGTATCAGCATATAAAATTTGAACCGAAAAATTACTGGTATTTGAGTTATCAACGATTTTTTGTTACGAAAAATCGCTGCCATTTTGAAATTTAGCAGCCATCTTGAAAGTTCTTTCTTGACCAGAGATCCTTTGTCTGTAGGTATAAGCATATAAAAGTTGTATCAAATCCAGCAACTGGTATTTGAGTTATTATCAGGACACACGGATGGATGGATGGATGGATGGATGGGATGGATGGATGGATGGACGAACGGACGGTACGAATGTCTTTAGGTTGCTGCTTGTATTGTTAGCTTGAGAATATCTTTATTCTTTTAACTCTTTGTTCTTTCTTATTTGGTATTTATTTTATTTCTAGCCATGTGGTATACCTCACCTATGTGCCATATCAAACCTCTTTGTCCCGTGTTTTGCCAATTTAAGCGACACCTGCTTCCCTGGGAACACAGCATCCAGACTCAGAAGAGCTTAACTGAAGGATGGTTTGGTATGCTACACTAGCGACATGGCAATTCTTATTCTTCATTTGTCTTTATCTGTCATTGTCTTTGCTCCATTATAACCATTCTTTTTCCTTTTGTTGTATATTCGTTTTTTTCTTGTTTACAATTTTCATTTTGATGTCCAGGAATGTAGTGATTGTCTTGTTGATTTTCCTTGTTTAATATAGGTTCTTTGGAACACATTTCTTTCATGTCTTTCTTCATTTCTCCATCATTGTTGATTCTGCATAAGTCATCTATAAACCTTGTTGTTTTTGTATATTTGAGTATTTTTGAATAGTCCTTCTTACGGACAGCTTTCCTATATCCCTCCCGAACTTGGTTCAGTGGGATAATTAATGGTTTTGCGGGATATACACTGTAGTGCTTTCGATACGTCCAGTATAGTTGGTACCCCACGATACTATTTTACTCACGATTACCATTTCCCTATGACCCCAATTTCCTAATTATTTGGCCCAACTAGGTTTATCCTTTACACAGCACCTAGAGATTTAGTGAGAGTCTCTAGGTGCTGTGTAAGAGAAATCCCATAGGATAAAGTAGGGACCCTCCTCTCCCGATTAAGCAATGGTATTATTCTTGCTGTGACCCACCCATGCCCCTTATACCCCAGCCCCAGCCTGTTATTTATCTTACAGAGAGACCCACTGCCCCTAAATGGAGAGTTTAAGCTAGCAATCTTTTTCACAACGCAACTGTGAACTGAAAGTATATGAATCAATATAGCAATGTATAGTGTGCATACCAAGCAAGCGCTTATAAGTCCACTTCAGATACCCATTCAGCTTCAGAGTTTAGAATGGGAAATTCCAAATTTCAAATTTGTCTCAATGGGAATCATTATACTCGTGTCTATTGCCATACTAGGCTGTTAATTTTCATTTTGATGAAGCCGAACAGCTATTTAAGTGAGGAAGCTACATGTAAATGTATATAGGCAATTTATACGTATACGTTGCTGTTTTAATTTATATACTAGCTTAAACTTTCCAATGTCTGCAAGCAAGCCCAAAATTTATTCTATTGCATTTTCTTACACAGGAGATCCTCCTACAACTCCTATTCTCCCCATCTGTCCTTTATGTAGCTCATAGTCCAAGACTGGAATAATGGCCTTCACCTGCTTCTTCATAATGCTGCCACTCAGCACATGTGATGATGTCAAAGTCTTTGCAGATGTCCGCGTTAACACTACTGCAAGGTAATATACATCTTATCAGACAATGTAAACTTGAAGCATTTACCTCCAGAGAAATTCAAATTCAAAATGGCTACCTGAATTCAAGATGGCCATCTAAATATGAATCAGTTCTACAACTAACAAGTTAATACAGAAAACATTCAGATGAATGGTTTTCATAGAATTGCAATAACAAGACAAATCAAAAAGTATGCTTCTAAAACAATGTTAACAATAAAGATCTAAGAAGGTGAGCAATACCTCTTGGCTATATCCTGTATATTTCTACAGTCATAATTAACGCATGGTTCTTTTATATGAGCTCGTACATAGTCATACAAGTACAGTGTACACATCACTGCCTTTTTACGAGTTGTGAATCACTCATCAAACACCCTGGAGTATCTACGCAAACAAGCCAATTAAGTATTGGCTGAACTGGGAATCGAATCTGGGACCCGTGGTACCCATGCTACCACTGAGCTCATATGTATTTATATGTATAACATACCTGGTCCTAGTGAAGCATTTGTATGGGAGTCAATGGGAAAGTTAGCGGGCTATATCCACCGATATTGCCAGATTGCCAGATTACCCAACATAGCCTCTGTACCTTGTTTTGATATTAGATTTCTTCAATAACCATGACAAAATCATTTCGTTCTTTCGTTATATGTCACAATGTAATATTTACCATCTACTCTACCCTTGATTAAATTGGAATGCTCTAAAAACCCTTCGACCTGCACCTTCGACCTTCAAACTATTGGGTGTCCAAATTTTTTTGAATGAATGGAGGTATTTCATTCCCATGATTCAAATTGCTTTTCTGTGATCAGCTGAGCCCAATTGATATATTGTCATGACACCTCTGTTTGAAATGTTTTTACACCAAACAAAAAATTCCCGCAACAAGGTCATTATGGGGACGGACTGACGTTGAATTTATTAATGTAAGTGATACATCTCTCAAATTACATGGTCTTATTCCAGTTATAGATGACGCCTGCATTTTAATAATTTAAACAAATCAAAGGATCTGGTATTGATATGGTGAACTTTTTGAACACACATTTCATATATATACTTTTCTCTATATAGTTTTAGAAAACACATCAGCCACTTGTTTTGTTCTTGGTAGCATATGTTCGGAATGAAATGAAACATCTATCCAAACCTCATTGGAACAAAATGACATAATCACAACGTGTTTAGGTCTCTCAATATTGTAATTGTACAAAGGAAAGTTTGGTTGATCTAAAAATATCTTGTTAATTAATTAAAAGGTTTATCTTAATTTTTATCTATTTTGGGGGTTTGTTTTAATTTTCTAAATACTATTGGTTAAAATCAACCAAAATTTCCTTTGCATAACTATATTGTTGTCAATCAGTCAACATTACAACATTACAAAAAGGATCGTGTTTTTTACAATTCTCAAATGCTTTCAATAATTGGTTTAAGAGGAAAACATTGTTGAATTCAGTTCACCATATCAATACCAATCCTTTAATGGATTTAATCCTCATGCGCATTTTAACCGAACCAATAAAGGTACTTTGCACATAATGCCCCCCCCCCTCCCATTACCCTTGTGAATTATTGTACTGTTCAATGGAGGATGAAGAAAATGATCAATAGAAATTATTTGCTTGAATACAATAACTGTTTTCACCTCTTCTGGGACATAAAATTTACTATATTCTAAAATGTATGCTCCTAATTGATCAAAAATCAATTTTTCTGAAAAAGTTCAAGTATTCCTTCTAAATCATTACGTTCAACGTATCACAGAGTTTTATGGGAGAGTGTTTTTATCCATTTCATAGCTAGGATTTCTATAATTTCTGAACACCCAATAAGTCGAGGGTTGAAGCTCAAAGGTCGAAGGTGCAGGTCAAAGGGTTTTTAGAGCATTCCATTCTGTAACATCCTCTTCATCTCTGTGAGAGGGTAACAGGACAACTCATCCCTAAGACAACTCATCCCAAGACAACTCATCCCCAAGACATCTCATCCCAAGACAACTCATCCCAAGAATCTCATCCCAAGACATCTCATCCCAAGACAACTCATCCCAAGACATCTCATCCCAAGACATCTCATCCCAAGACAACTCATCCCCTAGACAACTCTACCCAACTTGAAATATAACATAATTTATACAATTAATTTTCACTTTTGAAAGAATGAAAAATATTTAGAGATTTTAGCAGTTAGCACACTACTCATGGAATATCTTTGTTTTCTTTATAATATACATTTTTCATGCTGTATTTTAAACTGACACATTTCATATTTTGTCATGCTGTATTTACTTAATATTTTTGTATTTTGTAGTTGGTTTAGCCTAGTTTTAGTTAATTTTTGTCGACTCAAATATATTTAGAATAACCCAGAATTAATCAAAATAGCGGCAGTACTAACAAGTAAAACATAACTTTCAAGTACCATTCAAAACGCTAAAAATCAGTATTAAAAATTGAGTGTGTAATCAAAAATCACTTTGTAATCATAAAAATGAAAAAGGGATATATATAATATAGAGGACAAAATAATTTATCAATTATACAAGTGGGATGAGTTGTCTTGGGATGAGATGTCTTGGGATGAGATGTCTTGGGATGAGTTGTCTTGGGATGAGATGTCTTGGGATGAGTTATCTTGGAGATGACGTGTCTTGGGATGAGTTGTCTTAGGGATGACTTGTCTTGGGATGAGTTGTCTTGGGATGAGTTGTCTAGAAACCCTGTGAGAGCACCTGTGTGGGCTGGGCACAGCTTTGAATGATTGAATTCTACAGTATTCCTCATTATTTGTGCACATTACCTGATAATCTCTTGATTCTGAATAATGCACTTTGCATAACAGATGTCGCCACTAGTCTATGTTAGGTCTACTGAAAATATAAGTAAAAAGTGAAAAATTTCAATTTGGTATAATGAAATTTGCGAAAGTTGACTTTTCACGTCTGTTTAACAGTTCGTTTTTTTTTCATTCAACCTGAGTTGTGCAAAACTAATATTGCAATCTCTGAGCCTTTTTTCAGTGCAATCCATGCCTCCTCTACCTAAGTGATGGTACGCAATGAATGAAATGAATTTTGAGAATGCTAATACATGTTTTGGTTGCATATCAGACTGTATACACCTGATGCACAGGGAACAGAATTTCTCTATATTCTGACTTTGAGTGATTGTTACAGCATCCATGGTATTCAATATTTGTAAATCATGGTGACACACGCATTTGTTACGGCATAATTATATGAAACATACCTTTATGCAAACATTTGCAGAATATCAGCTCATATCCCGGTCTTAAAATCGTATCGATTGCTATATATATTTTAATTTAGCTAAGCTGAATTTTATATCAAAATGGCCAGAATGGCGGATCTGTTGAGTTTGAGCTTCTTTCTGAACAGAAATTTTGAAATATCTTGATCCAGACAAGCAACGCTTTAACTTAAATATGATTAATATTCTTATAAATATTAATAAGAATTATAACTCACATTTCTAGGTGCATACATGTACATGTGTATGACACTTTTTCTAGAATACATATGAAATCAATGAAGTCACATCTACAGGGCTGTCAACTTGGGACCATCTAACATGAGTGACTTCTAAAAAATAGACTAAATGTTGAACACCTTCCTTCAAACTTTGGACAGCTTCAGTGAACACTGGTAGATTTTGGACACCTAAAATTTTTCCAGCTTGCTAACACTCCCTGTTCAATTCCGTAAACAGGGGGGGTAGGTGTAAATATTTTCGGAACAAATGCGTGATAAATACACGTTTTTGTACCAAATGTGTGACATAAATGGCAATTGCGTGCAAAGACCGAACAGAATGCGTTCGCTTTTTTTCGCCCTTCGGTATTTTACTGTATCGGCATTTCACAAAAAATGATTTTTAAAAATATCAACAAAATGCGTGATTTGCGTGATATTTGATCATACACGCTAAATTGATGCGTGATTTCTATTTTTCAAGCAAATGCGTGTCAATCACGCCTAATGATTAAGGGTTGACAGGGCTGCATCTAGCTGTAAGCTAGAGACTCGAGTAAAGAATTTCCTTCATACTATTATTTAAAACTACTAATAGTTATTTATTACTTATTGTATTGAACTTCCAACTAATGTGTCCTGATGTCAAGATAGTAAACCTATCTCATAGTTTGCTTTATCACAACAAGATAAAGAAATGTGAAGGAATTCGCTTTTATCCATTAAAACATCACATCAACATGTGGTATTCTTAAACTAGAAGATGAAGATTACGATAGCGGAGGATTTTTAAAAAAACTATTCCACTGCATAGCAACAGTGGAATAAACAATTACTGATCACAAAAGGTCAATCCCTTGCATAAATCAAGAGTATTCACTTATTTCTACGGTTGTTACAAATCACTTAATTTATCCTACAAATGAATTTTTCTTTAATTAGAAATTAACATATCATAAAATATGGTGAATTTAATCGCTAGAAAACACAAAGAAATCCACACTGTAGCCGAACAATAAGGTAAATTGTGACAACTATTGAAAGGTGAGGTTTATAAAGATTTCTAGTGAAGATGTGAATTACCCAAATGATCCTGTCCCTAGCTCCGATTTCGTTACTCGGCTGGGAAAAAAGGTTTGTTGGTGTCATTTTGTTCCAGACAATCTCTAGAATAAATTCATCTTGGGTGGAATAAAAATATGTGGTAAACGAATTCGCTATGGGCAGTTAAAGAGGCGCCATCTATTCATTTTCAAACAGGGGGTAGGGGTATAAAATCATTTTTTAACACATTTTAATAGTAAAATGACATTGAAATACTAATAAAATCTTATCAAAAACATTATTTACAATCAGTATGAATTTTCTTGTGTGAATTAGGGTGAAAATAAGGGCATATCTTGAAATTCACTACAGGGGCGCCACCTATTTTTGTACTTCTACCACGTGTAATAACTTATTTTAGATTCGTTAAGGTACAAAATGTACATTTTGTCATACAAGTCACATTTTCAAAGAAAATTAATTTTTCAAACTTCATAAACTCTTTTCAAAATTACATTTCTAGATGTAATTTTACATGTAGATTTCAAATATGATATTACTTTGACTGAATTTTGAATATTTAATGATGTAAATCAAGATTATTTCTACTCGCATCTGGCTTACTGTCCAACCTTACTCGAGTCTCTAGCTTACAGCTAGGAGTAACTTCATTGATTTCATATGGAATCTAGAAAGAGTGTCATACGCACCTAGAAATGTGAGTTATAATTCTTACCTATTTATAAGAATATTAATCATATTTAAGTTAAAGCCTTGCTTGTCTGGATCAAGATATTTCAAAATTTCTTTTCAGAAAGAAGCTCAAACTCAACAGATCCGCAATTGATACAGCTCACTGAGAAGAGGCCATTTTGAAATGAAATTCCACTTAGCTAAATAAAGTTTATATAACAATCAATTAGAACGGGTGTATAAGCTGATATTTTGCAAATGTGTACATAAAGGTATGTTTCATATAATTGTGCCAAAACAACTGTGCGCGTGTCAACATGATTTACAAATATTGAATATCAGGGGCCTCACACAACCAAATGCTAAATCATGCGTATTCCCATCTAAATGATTTGTCTTTCAAAGAAAACCAAGATTTGTGGACATGTTTTGCTATCATGCCATCATACCCCAGAACCAAAACTCCCCACGAAAGTCAAAAATCTCACCTGTTGAATAAGCCATCTATAGAAAATGTCAAAAATTGTCACTCTGATTTTGACAGATGGAGGCAGGTCAAAAAGGTCAAATTTCTTAAAGAAATGCACCTCAATCACATCAAATCATGTGTTAGAGTTGGTCCATACATACACTTTTTCAATCATGCACTTGTCTATGTCTATGTCAACTAGATAACGGCAACTCCGTGGAGTAGCAAATCCCAACGAACAAAATATCAATTACCGAATTCCAATCAATTATACTCATTACTTTGGTTGAAAATGAAAAAATCAGATTTTAGAATTGCGAATTCCTGCAAAGCAGCCATTTTGAATTTTCTGAGGTAAAAATCTGAAAAATAATACCATAATTGTGATCTACTCCAAAATTCCTTCAATTTGAGTATAATATAGCCATACTTTGAAGGGATGGAAAAATTATTGCGAAATCGTACATTAGACGGCCATTTTGAATTTTACGAGGCTCGAATCAGAATTACTTTGGTTTGAATTTTTTTTTGCGTAAAACTATTCACCAATATACATCTTTCCACTAAATATGAAGAAAATCTGTCAACTAGTATTTGAGTTATCTTCCGGACAGACGGACGGACTGACTGACTGATAGACAGACGGACGGAGGACTTCACTATATCCCTAACGAACTTCGTTCGTTGGGATAATAATCTGCAAAAGGTAATAAGCCCATATAAAGCAGATATATAATTGAACAGTGATAGAATTTGAATAGAATATAATTTAAAACCTTAACATTTAAAAATAGATCTATGGTTTACAACTGATTTTAAAATTGAAAGGAACCTTCCTGGTTGGCCCCTGTACCCCCCCCCCCCCCCCCCCCCCCCCCTAGGAAGTTTTTTTATGTTGAAATACCCTGGGGCGACTGTCAGGCTACCGCGTTGACATCTCCCCTCTTTACCAGTAGTGCAGGCTTGTTGCTGTGCACTGGGGACCTTTCACATTAAAACATAGATCTATATTAAAAACACACCTATTTAATTGCAGTTATTGACATGGGCATAGTATGATGATGTAAAGTTACTGTCACAGTCTAAGATGTCACCAGGTAGAGTGTTCCATTTAGTTATTGTCCTAGGGAAATACATAGCTAAACGTTTATGCATCCGTTCTAGTTGATGGTTGTATGATACAACCTAGTGTTGGTATTGATCTGTTGGCGAAAGTATGGAAGCACGTTGATGGCTGCTAGGTTCTGCTGTCCTGTCAAAAGGAAAACTCTAGCAGCCTCTCGATGTTCCTTCAGTGACTCCAACTGTAGGTCTTGAAGAGCTTTGGTGATGGCTTTGTATAAAAAACCTCCTACCCACGTACCCTCGTACCCACGTACGTGGGTCCTGACCCAGTCTTTAAAGAGTTAAATTTTTAAATGTTTAAAACATTATTCAATCTCAGTTTATCCTGAATTATAGATGAATTTATGCATCCATATGCCTTTATTTATAGGTCTGACATCTCTCTAGTAAAATAAAATAAAGCCGGAATTGCATAAATGTTCATTATTTTTGAGCTATTTGATTTATGTTTTTGATATGTCGAAATGTTTTTTGTTGATCGGGCAGTCTTACCTGTTTAACACATCAGTGCTGATTAGCAATCTCCTAGCCTTCGTTCAGTGCAATCCGTGCCTCCTGTTACCTCATGCAGATTGTAAATGTCCCGGGAAGTTTACCCTTGTCCAAAAGTTGACATCTTTTTAAAAATATATTTCTTAGAGTTTCCAACCAATTAAATTCACCACATTTTATTAGATGTTTATTTCAAATTATTAGAATTCATTCTTACGAATATTATACGTTATTAACGTATGTTAGTCAAAGATTTGGTGTCGTTGTTGTCCATTGTATTCACGTTTTACGCGCAAAAAGCTAGAAACTACAAAGCTGAACTTTTATCATTCAAACCAGTTTTACATCAAATCATTGTCAAAATAAAACTCTACTCTTCATATTACCTAATTATGGATCAAACGGCCATGAATAATGTCGAAGTTTACAAAACCAAACTTACACTCCCCTGCATAAGTTTGGCAACTCTAACTTTTAATTCCATCTAAATGATTCACTGAACTAGTGCGCACAATTATCCTTAAATTGTGCCAAAAAGCGATAAAAAACGAATATAGCGAATCCTTCTACTTTTCAAATATTTCGTTAATTGCGCCACGGTTAAACAGAAATGCAGCCTTTATTATTCCTTGAGATCGTGTGAATTGATCACTCTATCACTTTGTATCTCCAATTCTGATGTTAAATTAAATAAAAGACATAAGACAAATTACACGTATAGTTCAAATCTGTTGTGCAAACAATGAATACTTGTAATATCGTTTGAAAGAATAAAAAGTATATGTGATAAAAATCGAAACTACAGGGTGTTAAAAAACAGGACCGATGAAAAGTTGAATAACTTCGTCAATCCAGAATCATTCAGGTCATTCAATGTGAATTTTGTTGTGAAAGTTTGACCATATTCTGCTCATGGAGTCAAAAACTACAGCACTTTACAACACATGCCCCATGTGGCCAATTTGCGCCAAGCAATAGATTGGTTGTACACTGTAAGACTGCCCGATCAACAAAAAATCGCTTCGATATATCAAAAACAACACTCAAATAGCTCAAATGAACATTATGCAATGCCGGCTTTATTTTATGACGAGACAGATGTCCGATCTAGAAATAAAGGCATATGGGTACATAAATTCATCCATAATTAAGCATACATTGAGACGGAATAATGTTTAAAAAATGTTAAAGATTAACTCTTTAAAGACTGGGTCAGGACCCACGTACGTGGGTACGAGGGTACGTGGGTAGGAGGTTTTTTATACAAAGCCTTTGGTGATGCAGCCTGGTTTCCTTGAGTGACATTTGGTTACAAACCTGGCTGCTCTTCTCTGTAGTCTGTACCTGCTCCAACATGTTTTGCTATCATGACATCATACCCCAGAACCAGCGTTTACCAAAATCCAACCACTGGTGACACTGATGATTTTATGAGATACCGTAGGACCCGACTGTGACTCAAAGTCAAACTCAAACTTTGAGTGGCTAGGCTTTGGACCAAAGTAAAATAATCCAACCACCAGCTTTGTGTCCGCCACTTGAAAACGACCAAATGAAAAAAAAAGTAGTTTGATCATCGATTTGAACCGTCAGTAAAATATTGAACTTACATATATTCCTTCTTTTATCGAGAATTATACCAGTACCAGGACTCCGGGATGTTTATTCTGTTTTCACGAGTAGAACTGTTAATCTCTGTTAAGTTCTCGATATAGCGAGTGCATATCGTTCGTTTAGTGCGATACTTACCTACATTAATACGAATAGACATACTTATCCCCGGGAATCACACGAGTTTCTTTGAATGAATGCTGATATCTTTACACGGTTTGCGTTAGTTTAGTATAGTGACAATCGACACGAGGACTCGTGTTTACTTGGTTCTAACTTTCTGAGTTGACAGAGTGAAGCTATTCGGCCCATCATAGTATTTTGAGGGCAAAACTGATCAATTTCAACATATCAGTCATGACTTGGTGCTATTGCCTATTACCAGATTACTCAGATTACTAGTATACATACATCATGAGAAATCATGGCCTTCTATTAGCTTCACACTAGCTAGTATGTAAGCCTACGTTGGTTTAGGGGGGGGGTCCCCCCCCCCCCGAACCCAAATAAATAAATAATATCCCTGGCAGTCCCGGGCCCTGGCCATCACTTATTACTAACCTAGCTATGCTTGTTAATGGATACTTACAATGTACTAATGTAGTCAATAAAACATTCAATTTCTCTATTGTTTGGTGCACAAATTTTCTATGGATTTTAGGGATATTATTTATTATTATTTGAACTGAATTTACTCTTCTTAATGCTGAAATTGATAGTTATCCATGCAATTTAAGAAAATAGGTACATTGTATGTCAAAGAAGATGTTAAGTCAAATATTGACCTGATAGCTCAGAAAACTAAAAATTTTCGAATATTCTCTCTACAGTCCTTGTTGCCCCTTTAAGTATTGTACTGATGTACTGTGAGAGTTACAAAAATGTACTTTCACAGGAAGGTGGTACAGGGTGGAGCCTAAGGTGGATCGCCGTGGTTCAGGTCTGCACGAAATTGTTGTCAAAATAATCGACTTAAAATGTGAATATTTTCATACATAATTTTATTTTTGAATCCATTTGACAGTTGGTAAATAAACACTGGAACTAAGATACCTTGGTAGCACCTATTGATGACATCAGAGAGTAAATTGTAAGGTGGAAATGACATCATGGAGCAATTCATAAGAATACAATTACATATCACGGGGAGCCCATGATATCAAAGAGCAATTTAACTAGATCAGATGACTTCATGGAGAAATTTCACCACACGGACTCGACAGAAATTATCATGAACAACATGACTGCTGAACAGAATATCAATAATATTCAGCATCAAATTAGAAGCAGCACCAAGTTCTATGTACTCCTAGGGTAAATCAAAATACGACACAATAAAGACATTCATGAAGCTTATGGAAAGGAAACTATATCTGGCAAATATCGTTGGTACCGATATTTGAAAGAGGGAGAAAGTCAGATGAAAATGAACCCATACAGGGGTGAACAAAGGCTGTGACTTCCCCTAGTCAGATTAATACGTACAATAAAAGAAATATTGACTATCGGAAAATTGCAGTCATGACTGTTCAAGTGTTGGTCGCACACACCATGTAACTCATAATGATTTAGAGATGACATTGATGTCTGGCAAGTTAGTGCGCAAGCAATTGACTGCGGAGCAATATTCACATTTTAAGTTGGTCATTTTGAGACTTTTTGGTGCAGACCTGATCCACCACTATCCATCTTTGGCTCAAATTAGCACCACCACCTTCCTGTTAAAGCACAGTCCTGTAACTTTCACAGTACATCAGCATAATACTCAACAATGCGCATTAGAAGAATTAGTAAGATCATGGGCTTCTAGTTTAAAGCCCACGGTAAGATGTGTGAAAAATAAAAAAGTTATAGCATTTTTATCAGTACTTATTGAACGCCCTGTATTTCTTTCAAATGATTTGTGGAAAAATTGGATGGATGGCTGTCAATTTATTGAATGCTCTTTCCGATGTGCTGGGAACATGATGAGCTTATTGCCAGAAAAGGAAATCCGAAGAAACATTCATACACTACCAAATTAAATTACACTTCCCTATTTTCGAACGAAAATACACGTTTTCTAGAATTAAAAAAAACGTTTACCAGAATTGATTATTTTATCGTTCATTGTTAAAGGATGTGCCCACCGGTGGCCAGTTTTAACTTCAATGGAGTGGAATATACATCTTGAACTGTCGGAATTATCTCAATCATTCGTAAGGCGAAATAATTGCTGGAATGACACCACAAAACCCGCTAAAACGTCTAGTGGAAGGCGCTTTACAAAATCGCCATTCTGATTACACCAACATTTCTAAAGCGTCTTAGGAATTATATTTTGGAATTACACCTGTTTTTCTAAAACGCCTTTTCGTGAACTTTTAACGATGTAGATATGGATAATATCCAGCATACATGTATGTGTACATCTCCTGTAAATGTATTCTTTATGCATCTAAGACAAAACTGATCTTCCATAATAGTAGGGCCACTCAGCCTATTTTGCAGTATTTTATTGGTTTAAGACTAAATATTGTGTGGGCAATTTGAAGAAACATTGAAATAGGGGGAGGGTGTGTCAGAAGCGCATAGATGTTTACCAAAGAACTTTTACCAGTTCAAGGTCACAGTCAGTGCTTTCTGGAGGCTTTCAAAGTGTTTTAATCGATAGAATCAATTTAAAGAAATTCAGATTTTTTCAATCATTTTCTTCTTAGGGGACCGAGGGAGCAGCTTAGGAAAATTTTACAAATTCAAGATGCTGTCTGGTTAATTCTGAGCACTTTTAGTGTGTGAGTAAATGAATGCTTTAGTTTTTTGGGTGGTGTGCCAGAAACTTTTATGATTTCATTATGTCACTTGGTGATTTCTGGACATTTTTTAAAAAATGTTAAGATTAACAAATTCAACTTCCAAACTTTTCAATTGTTTTGTGAGGGTGTGAGGAGTGGCCCATTCCCTTTAAGAAAATCTAGACTTTTGAAATGTTATTTGGTTATCATAGTCTATGTTGGTTTTTGGCTATTTTGAGGATTTAAACAGGTGCATGTGTTAGGCCAATGCATTATCTCCAGGAAAAGCACTCGTGGAGATCAAATAATTTCGACTTTGAGACATGGAAGATGCAAACAACCCACCAACGTGGTTTTTCTGAAATGTTGTCCTGATTTTCAACGCCTTCCACTCCTGCTTTTTTAATTTTTGTTGCATCAATATGTTTTAAGACACAGTTAACAAAACGCACGCAATATCAGAATTATATCTGATTATTTGGAATATAACATATAAGAGTTATTGAAAGTTCCAAGTATGTCAGACTAGAGTATTAATTAGAAGAAATTATTTCAATTAACTTGAAATTCTTTTGGCATTACCCAATATACCTCCTTCTCGATATACCCATATTTCTTAAAGGCCTAGTATTATTTTGTATGGTCAGGAGTGAATGAAAATGGTGTTTGTCAAGATTTTTGTCCACCCCTCAGCTAATGAATGTAGCAATTAAAAGCCATGAAATCTATCTATAGTTACCAGTTACATATCAAAATTGACAAACAAGTACTGGCTAATAGTAAATGCACCATTTGAATCTTTGCGGGAGACCCACTCAACCACGGACAGGATGGGAATTTTGACAAAAAATGATGGCCTGTTAAATTCTCCATCTTGAATCAAAAAGACAATGCGAAGCATGCCAAAATGTCACAAGGTCACCACATACCTAATTACTTTGTTAAAATCCCCACCATGAATGGGGGGTCGCACACAAAGATTTGATTGGTCCATTAATTTTGATCTTTTTCCATCTTGCATCATTCACCAAACAGTAAGAAGAATAACAGCATATACAATTCCGTTGCACTTTATTTTTATCAGAGACAAACATCACTCCAATATGCATATACAATATAATTATTTACAGTTTTATAATGCCATATTTGCAACAGAGTTCTTCATCAAAATTTGTTCTTTACCTATCATATAGTATTTAAGTCTATTGATAAAAATGTATTTTTGTCTACATTGTTTGTACAACCTGGTAAATGATTCTAATATATACATAATTGCTGTGTATACCCTCATAGAAGATCATGATCATCAATAATCTAATGAAATACATTTTCAGAATTAATTTTACAAAGCAGATGTTCCTGTTCAACTCAGCGCAATCTTCAAATAAGCAACTGATATTCTAATAACCATAAAGGGTCACAAAGCACATTTGAAAAGCTTCATTACAAAATCATATACAAATGAATGATAGAAATGCCTATAGAAAGCCTTTTTCGCTAGGCTACACTATGATCTGTTATTCTCAGATTTATAACAGTCGATAACTCAAAATTATTAACTAATTGATTTTCCATGTCTTCATTGATGTTTAAATCAGAATATCAAATGTTTTCATATCATGAGAGACTTGTACACTTGTATATATAGAGAGAGCTTTCGATATAAATTTACGCTTTACTTAATTTTTAAATGACATATACAATACACCAGAAATGATGATGTAGTTTACAGTTCTGATAAATTTTCCAGATCCAATTTCTCTATCTTCTTTGTTCTGATAGTGGTGTATTGTCAACAACGAAATTGTGATTAACTCTCCTCCTACAATGACCTGCATATTAAGCGCAGCATTCACCGTCGCAACCTGATATGCAAGTTCATTGTTCATGAAATCTGCAACATTGATGCATTGTTTGCACCATCAGCCCTTCTGTGGCGTGAAAAATGTTGCTCTACCCCACCATGGCAGAGAAGATTCTCACACAGAATATATTGCATTCCATGCTCTTCCAAAAGTATTGGCACTATTTCCACCAATGACTGCACTGAAAGAAAAATAAATACATGAATGTTTCTATTAGTTTAGAAAGAATGAGTACAGTAGAAGTGTAGAAACTATGTAAGTGGAACACACTTGGGACAAAAGTGTTCCATTTGGGAGATGTTCCACTTAAAGAGGTTCATTAACATGTAATAAATAGGCCGTGGGACTTTTAAAAACACTGTTACACTTGTGAGGTGTTCAACACTTACAGAGGTGTTCCACTGAGGAGGTTCTACTGTAATCTTAACAAAAAA